TTTGCAGCTGTTCTCAGTTTATAGTGTATTAGAATGCTCTAGAACATGGTTGAAACTACCAGGAACATTTGGAATGGGATAGAAGCTTCATTTTCTTAAAATCTGTCAACAGTTTCAAGGGGGACATACAGTTTCTGTAAAAGTGTTTAAAAAAAAAAAAAAAAAGAAGTCTTACTGTTTTTTTTGTCACATGTTTATGTCATTTGCATCAGAAGGAAACTCATTGGTCAAATAAATACAACCTATGAGTGAAAGTTGTAATGACGATGGATCATTTTAGGCTCAACTGTATGAATGAAAAACACTGAATTAGTTATAAACAATGAAATTTATGTTTGGTATAGAAACTCTGTCATTCAAAAAAAAAAAAAAATCAGGGCAGGGAAAGAGCTGCTAGCAAACCTCAAACTGAGCATCTCCTGTGTGTTTGTAAGTACTTGTGTACTTGTTCGCATGCTGAGTGTGAAATGCCTCTGGGGATGTCGTTGCCTGGAAGCCGCCATGTCTCAGAAGGTGAAATAACTCCAAACAGGCGCACACCTATCCTCTCACCATTACCCTACAAACCCCAGGGGCGCCTGCAGAGTGCTTTCCCATGTCCTCGTGGCGTTAATCCAGAGTTGGGGTTTGTCCGCTCTGCTGTAGATGTGTGTGCTTTTAGATAGATAGGCAGGCAGATACACAGATAGTAGGTGGACTTTTTTTTTTTTTTGTCCTTTTGAGCACACAAGATAAGATAAGACAAACTTTATTGATCCCTCATCGGGGAAATTTACATGTTACAGCAGCTAGATACTGATGAGGCCTGGGAGAAGCAGAATTATAAAAGTGCATTAAGGCTTAAAAATGAAGATATGTGGACCTTTCACATGTACAGATGTGGCATGATGAACTTCTTATGTACATGAACAGAGATGGCGCGATAATGACACACATGGTGGTAGAATTGTACTTTTATACAGAATAGCTCATGTTTAACTGTCAGGTCTGCCTGGTTTACAATTTTTGGGAAACTATCTGCTTTGGAACTAAACCTTGCACACTTTGATAAGATAGATTGGAGTGTTTTCAAGTTATTTCATGATACAGCTTCGTTACAAATACAAATAGTCTTATATATAGTTATATATTAGATTTGTAAATCTTAGGGGCTGCAAGGTGGCTTGGTTTGTGTCCCCGTGCAGCGTGGGTTCTCTCTGGGTTCTCCGACTTCCTCCCACAAGGTCCAAAAACATGTTGAGGTTAATTGGTGATTCTAAATTGTCCATAGGTGTGAATGTGAGTGTGCTTGGTTGTCTGTCTCTAAGTGTAGCCCTGTGATAGACTGGTGACCTGTCCAGGGTGTCTCCTGCCTTCACCCTGAGTCAGCTGGGATAGACTCTAGCCCCCCATGACCCTAGTGAGGATTAAGCGGTGTATAGATAATGGATGGATGGATGGATGGATTTCTAAATCTTACATTAGAAAAAATACTTAATGTCAATTTCCAGGTCAACGAATAAACAAGAAATGTCCTTTGACTTGTGATGATTAGATGTATTACAGAATACCAGCTAAAACATCACATAAAGCAGCAAAGTTCTGCCTTTATTCAGTATCTACGGGCACTTTTTGACTTGTCGAATCTTCCCTTGTTGACCCACAGATGAAGATTAGTTGCACAAATGTTACAGCAACAATGTGACACTCAACTCTTGTCCTGATCCCGTTTTACATCCAACATAAAGGTAGTTTTCTTTTTACTTTTTTTTTTAACATCACCTCAAGTATAACTATGAAAAACGTACCTTTGTTTGCACAGTTTGGAGCCATCTTTGCTTGCTGAGGTCACAAATATGAGACAGTTCCATAGAAATATCAGCCTCTGGCAATTTTACACTCTGCTGCTACATGTGACTGCAGACTTATAGATCAATGAATGCATTTTGTTCACTTCCAAGACACAGATTTTCTGCGAATACGTCAAGCAGAGCATGTCAAAACTCTGGCCACGATGAATATGTGCAGACAATGTTCTGAGGTTGAACTCGGAGACAAACATGTCCTTTCGATTATTACCACAGCGGGGACGTTTGCATTGTTACAGCAGCAAAGGAGATGACGCAAACATTCAGGAACATCAGTAGAAAAATAGAAATAAACCAAAATATACATACGATACTAAAAAAAAAAATACATAAAATTTCAAATTTGACCCAATTCTGTATCTTGGAAACTACACCTTATTATCATTTCTAACTTATTTTTTCTTTATTAGTGATCCAAATTAGGTAAAGAGTCACTGTTGTAATTCTGGGAGCATTTTTCTTGCATTTCGCTGTTCACCCATCTCTTCTTTGTCCCTCCTTCCTGTAATTCAGCCTGCAGCCTCTCCCCCTACCTCATGATTGACATCCCCTCCCACTAGCTTAGCACCAAGCTAACCCCCAAGAGAAAGTCATGCAGACTCAGTACCTTCGCAGCTCCAGTAACGCTGCAGAGTCGATACTGTTTTATCATGAATATCAACTATTGAGTACACGTGTGTCTGAGCTGCGTACGGTCACGGTTAATTTGCAGGCTGACAGGTGCCTGACCTGACTGGCTCCGTGTTAATCAGTGTGTTTTTCGGCGTTATGCACGTGAGGACGAGCGTATGGGCGTATGTTTATTCATGTGTAATTAGCAGAACGTGTTATCGGCAGCGCGCTGACCCCCTGAGCCCGGGTCGTGCTGCGGCCTGGAGGGCTGATGGCTGGGATGTAATCCTCCTGTCACCCTCCGGGCAAAGCTCGTGTTCCCCAGCCTCATATCTGAACCTTATTAAGCTCCCACCAACACGCACGCACGGTTCACATCACCTGATCCAGAATGAATGAGCATTTTATTTCCAACCGGCACAGCTAGCTAAATGAACAAGAAGTAATATTTTTGTCTCAATTTAAGTGGTTAGATGTACAGCTATGAAGGATTTAGGTTTTATTTCCTACTTCAGAAGTTGGTTAAAGTAGAAGTCAGAGTTTTTCAAGGCTGACGTTGATGCTGATTATTAGCAGTGAAGCAGACCAATAGCTGATATTTGCAGGAAAATTAAATAAAAAATCAAATCAAGTTTATTGTCATGTTGCTGTACATACACAGCAGTACAGGCAGGATGAAAGAGCGTCTCGTCAGGATCCACTAACTCAAAGCAATTTAAATCAAGAAGTGTTTGCATATCTGGATCAGCAGTTCAGCATTCTGACAGCTTGTAGAATGAAGCTGTTGATCAGTCTGGAGGTTCTTCCTTTAATGCTCTGGAAACGTTTGCCTGATTGTAGCAGTTCAAACAGTTTATGGAGAGGTTGTGAGGAGTCCCTGACAATGTTCAGAGTCCTGCTCCTGCAGCGGCTCTGGAAAAGTTCTTGGACAGCGGTGAGGGAAACTCCAATGCCCCTCTCAGCTCCTCTAACTATCCTCTGCAGGGCTTCTCTGTCTGACAGACTGCAGCTTCAGTACCATGTTGAGATGCAGTATAATGGTGTTGAAATTTATAACACAACCTCCAACACAAAACAGTTGAATTACAGTCGTAAACAGAAGTCTCTATACACTTGTAAACACCATGTATATCATGGCAGTCTTGAGTTTCCAGTGATTCCTGTAACTCTTCATTTTCTACGATGGAATCACTGAAACACGTGATCCAAGTGACTTTCCTGACTTGTTCAGAGTCTCATGAGTGGATCAAATGGGTCCTAACTACATTGGCTCAGAGGAGTCAGCAGCTGGAGTCAATTGTAATCACTCACAGCGTTATAGGAGTCATTGGTAACGCAAGACTTATTGTCTTTACAAGTGTATGTAAACTTCTGTTCACAGCTGTACCTTTGTTAATGTATGTTCCCCATATGTTCAATTGAAAGAAAACTTTTCAACGTTTATTCTTCAGTGTTGATTGGCTGTTACTCATGATGACTAACCAATCAGATAGCGGGGCTGCAACTACTGATTATTTTCATTGTCACGGTTAAAAAGAGAATCTGCTTAAAAACGAAATTCTGCACCTCTCAGTGCAACAAAGTGGGTGACTCAGTTGCAGCCAAATGTTTTCGGCTGAACTGCAGGCCTTGTTTCCCCTGAGCAGAGAGGAGACGCTTACGGAAACAAATGAGCAAGATTAAGATCAAAACGTACAATAAAGTAAATGCAGCATGGTTTTAAAAAATGGTGTACAGAGGAGCAAGTTGTTGGAACACAGTCAGCGAGAGTTTCAACGCAGAGTTTGCAGAGATTGTAGAAATGTAAGTAGTTAAATATCTATTATATGTAGAGCCCCCATGTTTTTTTACAGTATTAGTAAGACTTTAAATGTTATACATGTTGATTCCAGGTTAAGTAAATAATCACAGAAATTCAACTTTTTGTTGATTTGTAGCTTTTCAACTGTGTCTTACTGCACAGAAGGCATTTGAGCTCTCTCTGCATCTAGCTGTGGTTGTGCAGTTTAGAGGGCTAGTCAAGTATCTCAGTATGCTTCAAACATCTCCTTCTTTATTTGTGCCTCTGAAGCCCTTCAGACACGTCAGCCGTTCACGCTGAGAAAATCTGCTCGTCCTGTGTGTCTCTGCAGCAGCTGAGAGCAAACGTCAGGGAGATGGAGAAGCTGTGCACTCGAGTTCGCGCCGAAGACGCCGCCGCTCTGGAAGCTCTTGTCAGGCCGGTCAGAGACAGAGCGTCAGCCGCCGCACGGGACTTCCTGCTTCTGAACTCTAACCCCGTACCTGCACCACCACCTGCCGCTCAGACGTCCAGCTGTGCATCCGGTAGCTGCGGCGCCGATGACGAAGTGGGCGAGGAGCCAGTGTCTGGCAGGCAAATTCAGCTCCACCTTCCAGAGATCCCTGCTGAACAGAGCGCAGCTGAGTCCTGGGATAACCTGGAGGAGGTATGCATGGCTGGACACAGCATGGATTCTAGCTATGTCCCCTTTTTTGTTGTATAGTCACCACTCAGTAGTATGTATGTAAAGGTGTGCGGTATATTCTTGACACGCGTGACAGTAGGCTGTTTTCCCCTGCAGGAACTTGCAGGCCATCGTAGGGCAGCCCCAACCTTTCCACTTGTTCCGACACCCACTGTAGAACCTCTTTCAGGGCTGTTTTTGGGGCCAGAAAAAGTACCTACTTCGGTGTAGGTATATTCTGCGCAACCCTGTCAAAGTGCTGTGCAGAGGCTACTCGGTTAAACTGAGACAAGACAAAGCTGACTGATGAAGCTCTTAATGTCTCAATCATGTGGCCTCATAGACTAACATTACAAACCTCCATCGCTCTATTTCCTGTGTGCTTATAGAACCGGAGCTCAGTCCAGCATCTACGACTAGTGTTTGTTGTTTTGATGCACTCAGAGTTGCCGTCTAAGCTGTTACATTTTAGTTGTTATTTTCACATTTTTAGATTTCTTGAGGTTCTGTTTAGTGCAAACGGTTTGTTTTTTGTCAATTTTTCAATTAAGAAATGTAGATTCGAGGGATTATGATTAAATATCACCATTGTAGGCTTTGGTTTGGTTCACTTTCCTGCACGTCACACGTTTCTAGTCCGTGGATCGTCTGTTTCATATGCTTTTGCAGCTGATAAATTGTGTAATTTTTGATGCTTTATTATAAGTACAACATGATATTTTGGGGTTTCGAGGGAAATAAATGGTTTTTATCTCTTAGCTACGAGAGTTTGTACAGAAAGAGGGAGCCAAAGCATTTTGGTAGAGAAGCATATCTAAAACAAAAAAACATAGGATGCAGGTTTCTCAGATGATCTCCTGTTGTGACATGTCAAATGTCATCTGAGTCAAAGGGCTGTTCTGTATTTAGATTAAAGCACTAAACACTACGTGGTACACTACATCTAACTGGCTCCTCTTATCTGTCCTTACAGATGCATTTTTTCCTCTCTGCTGTCCTGTGATGCATTAATATTCACTCTTGTTAGTTAAAGCGATTGTCACTCACAGACACTGACACTGTCGCCGCTTTGTAGCTGCAGATTCATGCGATAAGCAACACAACGAAGTAAACACCATGATTTCCTCCTCTCAGGATCTGAAGGAGCTGAGTGGTTTGGTGACGGAGTTCTCTCTGCTCGTCCACGTGAGTAGCAAACACTCTTCACGTTCACATTTCGCTGCATTTCCACGTCTACATGTGTGCACGGCCTGGGCCTGTGAGCGAAAACAATGAGGCGGGGGCTGCTCGCCTTCAGCGTTTCCAGGAAGTGGTGTGTATTTGACCACCGTGTTGCCTGGCGAGGAGGCTCAGGAGTACCGCCGGGGGCCCCAGAGGCCCTTCACCGAGGCCAGGGGGAGAGATCCAGGAGTAGATGTAGAGTGAGAGAGGGAGAGAGAGAGGGGATTTTAGGGGGAGAGAAAGGAAACGAGGGACACGGCGGAGCAGGTGGAGAACAGACGGCTCAGATTATCGCCGTATCCTCAGGGATGGAGGCAGAGAGGCAGCGAGAGATTAACAGGGAGGCAGTGGAGATGTAGTTAGGGTGAAAAAACAGGCCGAGGTACGGAGGGGAGGGCGGCGGCAGAAAGAGCATAGACATGTTGTGGCGTCTCAGGGGTGAGAGACGCCGTTAGGGGAGTGATATTCCAGCGCTCAGCCACAGTGGAAACACTGAGTGAGTGTGTGGTCGTGTCTTTGTCTGAGCCTCGACATGCGTCATGTTAGTGGCAGTTCCGATGTTTGTCAGCTTCTGTGCTTATCTCTCTCTCTCTCTCTCTCTCTCTCTCTCTCTCTTTTTTGTTTGTCTTTGTGTGTCTTCTTTGGCTTTTGACTGCGGTTATAACTGACACACGCGGTATTAGCTGCTATCTGAACAAGTGTAGCAGCCGCAGAACGTTTCACACTGATGGAGCCGCTCGGCCTGGAGTCAAAGGTGGAGAATTTTCTAAATTAGCAGCTACACATCGATGGGTTTTCAAGGTTAAGAATATTTGTTTTCTGTTTACCCAAAGTGTTGAATTTTGAGCGAAAGTCATAAACCCAATCAAACACATGAACACTTAATAGGAAGATCGAGGTGCAGTGATTAGCTGATATCAGCAGCTTCGTCAGTAATGTCAAATATTTTTAGTAATTTCATTTTTATGTGATCGAGGCAGTGCTACTATCTGTTTTTTTTTTGTCTATATTAGATATACGGCTGCAACTAATGATTATTTTTGATTGTTGGTTAATCTGTTAATTATCTTAATTTTAATCATTTTAGTTGTTTGGTCTATAAAATATCAGAAAATAATGAAAACATTGATGTGTGTGTTTCCCAAAGTTCAAGATGACAAATGTCTTGTGTTGTCACCAACACACAATTTCAGAGGTTAGATGGTAATTTAAGTTCTTTTTTGTTTGTTTTTTTAAACGCAAAAACGGGAATAAATAGTTCTTGATTGTTGCATGTTAACGTTTTTATCTTTTTATACTGAATTGACTAGCTTCAGAAGTTATAAGCTACCAGAATATGTCAGCATGTGCCCTGTTGTCGATTAAATTCGGGCTGAAAATAACGATTACTGTACTGCTGATTAATCAAATATCCACAAAATGCTAGAAAACGGTGAAAAGATGAACAAATGTCTTGTTTTGTCCAAAACCCAAAGATATTCAGTTTACTGTCACGGAGGAGGAAATAAACCAGAAAATATTCCCATTTATGAAGCTGCAGTCAAAGAATTATTCTAAAAAAAAAAAACTGCTAAAAAAAAAAAAGATTATTGGATTATCAAAATAGTTTGCGATTTAATTTACCAGTTAACATCTAATCAGTTAATTGAATCAATTGCTGCAGCTCTGGTATGAAACACTAGTTTGTATCTCTGTATACTAGAAACACAATAAAAAAAAGTTGAGCTAAAATAACTGTTTGATCAATCAGCTGATTTGAAACTGATCCTCTATAATGACGTGAACAATGTTTTCTTTTCTTATTTTGGAAAGAAACCAGAAAATATTCACAATAAAGAAGCAGCAATCACAGATATATATATACTTAAAAATTGCTAAAAATCCATTAATCCATCTTTAAATATCCGGTGATTGATTTAATAGTTGATACTTGTTTGAATTATCTTTGCAGTTTGTGTAGGAGGTTTGAAATCCTTATAAAACACCATTAGAGGGTTAACTTGGATACGAGGAGCTGAATCTTTAAGACGGCGTCGAGGTTTTGAGGAAGACGGAGTAAAAGATGCTCCGGTTGTTGTTTGGTCACTGTGTCCATCCAACCCTCACATGGAGAGAGACAGCTGCCACTCTGAATATTTCATGAGATCTACACAATGCACACACACACACACACACACACACACACACACACACAGATACACACAATCATATGACCCCACCCCCCGTTGAAATCTGCCTATAGCCTCCACACACAGACAAACACACACACACACACACACACTCACACACACTCTCACACACACACACAACTCCTCTCTGAATTAGGGCAGCTAAAAAAAAAACAAAAACATTAAAAACACAACTTTGTACACAACAGGTGGTCGCTCTTTCACGTGTGTGTTGAATATAAGTGTGTGTTAATGTGTGTTGTGTTTCAGTCCCAGCAGGAGAAGATTGACAGCATCGAGGACAACGTCAACACAGCCGCTGCCAACGTGGAGGAGGGGACCAGGAGCCTGGGGAAGGTGTGTGTGTGTGTATAGATATATATATATATATGTGTGTGTGTGTGTGCGCTGATGATCGGATGTGTGTGTGTGTGTTTGGGAGATGGGGAGATCGATGGCACTTTGCCTCCCAGCCATTCCACAGCGTTTGTCCCTATTGATCCGTTCGAATACGGAGGAAAGCTGCAATTAAGGAAATAGAGAGAGAGAGGAGAGCGATGGAGAGGAGGAGTGATAGAGAGGCGGGATGAGAGGCTTCGGTGTGTGTGTGCAGCATCCAGGAGAGGTTTAAATGACTGTTTAATAGTTCTCCAGGAGCAGCGTTGTCAATTCAGCGACACCGTGTAAGTCCGGAGACGACGCAGCAGCTGTTTACACACTGGATACGTTTTGTCTCTGATACAAAAAATAAATCACCAGTGCAAGCAAATGTCATTAATAGAAAATTACTCGTGCTAAATTTTGATTATTAGTTAGTTTTATTTTGACTAATAGGTTTTTTTCTGGCATAAATAAGCAACAACAGACAGTAAGACGCTGTGTTAGAGATGTTGTAGCCGTTTCAAAGTAGCTCTTTTTACATTTTTATTCAAGTCCTGGGTCCAAAATCATCTCAGTGTTCAGTGTCATAAGCCTTTATTTCCTCCCATAAGTAACATAACAGTGTTTCTGGGGTTTAGTTCCTCCAAGTGTCCATCTGCAGCTCTTGGAGCTTGAAGGCTTCCTCTCCACCACTCTGCTCTTCAGCTCCTCCACAGGTTCTGGATGGATTCAGGTCTGGACTCTGGCTGGGCCGCTCCAACATCTCCTCATTGTTTCCTCTTCACCGTTTCTTCACCACTTTGGCTGCATGTTTCACATCATTGTCAAGGAGCAGTCAAAAGCCACGTGCGACTGATTTGCAACAGCTTCAAGGAGTATTAATTCGTTGGACGTGGCATTTTGAAGTGAACATATAAAAGCAAAGCAAAACAAAACATTGAAATAGGGCGAATCCATCATCAACATCTCTAACACAGTGTCCTACTGATTTTTATCACATGTTTATGTCATTTCCAGCCACAATAAACCTGATGGTCACATAGTCAGTCATCACCAATCTAAATTTAGCATCGGTATGAATAGTTTTTCGGCTTGACTAGTTTACTTTCAGGAGATAAACGCTCATCTGTGAGTTGTAGCCATATTTAGTTGTCTGTTTTTGATTTTGTTTTGTTCACATCTTAGGAACATAATAGAGGTAATTACGCTGTAATTACAGACACTCAGATGGTGTTGACGGAGGCAGATCTGTAAATGCCAACACATTTTTTATCTTCTTATAATACGTTTTAGGATGATAGAAAACATAGTTTCCCCTTTTTCCTCTAGTGGAATCTATTTATTGGACAAGCTGGTTTAACATTTCATAGTTGAATTTGACTGTCTGGAATTGAAATTAAAGACATCACCAAAGCCATTCGAATAGTTACTCTGCGACTAGTCAGAGTTTTTGTTCCAGATATCTCTAATGTCAGTCCAAACCTCAGGATGTTTAGTATGCAGTGATAGGTGACAAAGAAAAGCATATTAACTCTCATCTTAGCAGGATTTTTCTTGCATAGATGAATTTTGAAGCACGAAAATGCTAAATATTGAGAATTTAAAAAGAAAAGAACAGTTTAGTTAGTTGTAGTTTTATTTGCTCAAGCGTAAATAATATATTTGTTCATCAAATGGTCAGAAATAACAGGAAAATGCTTAGATTTCTATCAAATATAACAACACAGCGTCATTGTCTGTATGCAGTGATGGTGTTTGACGTGATTATTCAGTTATCAAAGTAATCGTTTATTTCGTGATTAATCAACAAATCGCTCCCATCTCAGGTTTGCAGATTATCTAGACCACTG